TTGTTAATTTTTCGATAATTTATCAAGACGTACCAACATTTGATAAAATGCCAAGATGATGAGAAAATAAACATAGTAAAGAAATATAACAGAAATATAAACACTGCAATATGTGTTTATTTCTGCCCATTATCTCATGATGTTTCAATCTTTAACTATTATGTTTATTATTACATAATAAATTACATCATATTCAATTCTAATCGTAACAAAAAACGTCATTGTATTTTTTATCACATAACTTCGTCTATATATATCTAATTTATTAGATACTACTATTATGATTTCGATAAGAATTAATTTTATAGTTTCACTTTTGCAATACTATTTATTAATTTAAATATATTTAAAGTATAACAACAAATCTACGCCGATATTTTCCCCTCGGTATAAAGCACCGTCCGCTGTTAACAAGCACCCAAGCAGCTAATATATTCCGGCAGATCCTCCGAGGTCATGCACGTAAAGGGTGTGCGTAAAGTGCGCGCGTGTTAGTCGATTAACGATTGTACAAATAAAGTTCGTCGGCGATTGCGTAACGATACTAGAGACGAAGCTTAAGGTCAGGTCTCCCTCGGTTGAAGTCATAAATCACTTAGGAATTAACCCCTCTAATTGGTCCGCCAGTATTTAAATCGAACGCACACACGCAACTGCGACAATACGGATATGGAAACGCGCATACACCGCGACATACGTTCTGCGACTCATCTTATGCGTGTGAATCGAGTTAAAACTGGGCAAAGCAAGTTGCCAAGCATTTGTAAACGAGCGCGATTTTCGCAGCTTTCTGGAATCGCAAAGCTAATTAGCGCCTCTAGCCATTCGAGAAAAAGAGAATTGTTACGACTAATGGAAATGACGTCTAAATTAAGGTAATGAATTCCATAGCATTTTCCAACATGAAATCGTGAAAAACACAATATTCATGAGAGAAAACACCGTGCAAGAATTAAATTGCACACACTATCAGTAAAAACCGCCTACTAAAAGAGTAACAACAAACATTTATTAAATTTATTCATTAGAGACAAATATATATAAATACAAACTAAAATATTCCAAAGTTGCAAAGTGTTTTAATTACAATTCCTTTATAAATAACAATTATTTAAATGCGTATTTTATAAGGTTAAACATTTTAATAGTTAAGTGTCAAACTAAGTTCTCTATAAATGTAAATTTTAAGTAAAAATAAATAAAAAAATAATTTGTATATTCTATATCCTTATTTCTCAAATTTAATTTATTAAAACCATTTGTATTATTGATCCATTCTAGAAATTTCAACTTTAAAATATATAATTATTTACTTTACTTTGAGTTTTTCTACGTTTGAATAGGAAACCATTATCCAATTCACATCTTTCACATAAAAAAATCTTTATAAGTATTAGAAAGAGAGATGAAAAGAAGTATTAAATTAAAATTATTCCAATATTTTGTTACATATTCTAATCTTTATTTGACAATATAATTTATATGCTATTGATTGATAATGTCCCAATGACGATTTATTTGATTTTAAGTGGACATTTATTAAACGGCTAAAAATGGCATCTCTATAAAGGAACCTTTAGGTAATCGTTTTTAAGTTATAAACGTGATACTGTTGATTTCAAATCAATTTAAAAAATGAATCTTCTTCAATTCACAAAAAACTAGTTGAATTATAACAAAAAATATTTGTATATGTGATGTTAATTACTCTTACAATATTAAATTTTGTTAAATAATATCTATTTAATATTAACCCAATAAGGGCTGTTGAAACAAAATAATAATATTTGTACGCTGCAAAAACAAATTTAATGTAAGTAAAATGCCTATGTAAACTTCCACGAATGTTGATGCGTAAATTATGTATTCCAATTGCGTTTACTTTAATTTCATTTGATGAAGTATATTCCAATTGCGAATTGTATTTATTTGAAATATATAATGAATCCACCATCCGTGGACACTCGTATAAACATTTTATGTTTTATTATATCCTGATAATTAAAACTCTAAAAATCTTCAATTCTTACTGTTATGTAAATTCGTAATTCTTCAACCTAAAGTTTTGCAAAATAAAAATATATTTCATATTTAATAAAAAATACATCCGAAATTCAATGTTATCGTAATATATAGAATGTCCACAAATAAATAGAAGCATATTTTGTATGTATTGTAGTTTAATATTAGTTCAACGTTAAATAAAATATTTCTTACAATGTTAAAAGAATTAAGAGCGAAAGGACTGCGCAACATCGAGGTTGCCGAGCTCACTGTTGGTGTCCGATAGGGGGTGATCGATGATCGATCGATTCGCGTGACGGCACGTTTCCAGGACGTTGCGCCGCACGAGTACGAGCAAGTTGCAGTACTCGAACGGATTCAATGAACTCGAAGAAAACGAGGCACGCTCTTCCTTTCCTACCCTCACCTTCTAGAACGACCGAGTCACGGCTTGTGATCGTGCCTCGGACACAAACGATCAACGAAACGCGCGGGAGTGAAAGTCAAGGGGCCGACAATCGCCACGGAATGTCATCGAATCATGAACGCGATTCATGAGTATGTTTCAAGGGAATCAACGTACTGCCAACAACTTCGATTACGTCCGGCGTTTGCCGCTTACCGCATGACTCTCTTTCCTTGACAAGAACACTTACGATCAAGAGAGATATTCTGACGATCATGCGTAGAAGAAAATTTCGAAATACATGATGATTACATTTTAAGAAAATAGTATATCGGGATACAAATAATATTTTATAGAAAGTTCCTTAAAATTAGATAACATGAAATAATTATAATTATATCTCTTGATCCTCTTGTGATCAAGTACTTTAAACTATTCATATAATATAGCAAGAATCATCATTCGTTTTCAGCTGAGATTTATTTTTATTGTAGAAGTATAGATATTTAAATGAGAGAGAGAAACACCAATTTAATTAATTTATGCGTAAAATAAAATCACGTCTCTGCTGATTGCTTAATGGCAAAATCAGAAATACAATCACACAAAAAGCCGTTAGGAACATGAATGCAGTAATGAATTAATCACACGTGTCGTATAGTGTCCAAGGAGCAAAAAATACAGAGCAAGAGGAATCAACTGACGATAATAATCACAAATCAAAGTCCAATGATATTTCAGATATTTCTAAGCAAGAAAAATGTGAATTGTTCATTTACATAATAAAATAAAAATCGAATCCATTACAATTCCAATAAGTACACAAATTTTTAAGAAGAAGAAGGTTTATAATTCTGCTTACGAATGATGAATAATTAATATGTTTTAAAATAGTAAGATTAAATGTCATCAGCTTTCCAAAGATAATAAATAAATATAGGAAAAAAAATGTATACGTGGATGTTAATATGATTTGCAGCAGCTGAATGTATTGTAAAATAAAAAATATCGATGTGTAAAATATATGATTCGCCGCAATATTTTTATATGATTGATTTAGATGTCAAAGATAAAATTATAAATACATAGAAAAAATGCCACGAAAAGTCGTATAAATTAAATTGTACATCAATATATATCAAAATATGTCTTAATTAAAAAACCGTCATTTTCATTATATTTTTTAGATACGTATGATAATGTAAGGTGATACGTCTTTTTACAAATCACTAAACTTTTCAATTCGGATAATATAATGTATGTATCAAAACGATCGAGATACACTTAAATATTCGATAATATGTAAATCAAATCTTCTAAAAAAATTCAAAGATAAAACGCAGTTATTAATTATGTTGAATAAATTTTATTATATCTGTATAAAAAATTAAGTTTGTTAAATTTGATTATTCTGTGTGAATACGTAAATATGTGAAATATATATGAATTTACTAATTGTAAGTGTTTCTTTACAATAGAATCATCACGATAATATTTTCATAAATTATACGAAAGACAGCTATCGAGTTTTTTTAATGAAAGATGTATTGAACGCGGCTGTAACTAAATTCATCTTGGATCATCATGATCGATCTTGCTGAGACATCCTAACGCAATGCGAAGTAGTTCTCGCGCGCTCGTACGTTCCAATTATTCAAATGCATTCCCGGACACGTTGCACCTGTTGCATCCCAGATGCAGATGCATGTCTGAGGCGTCGAATCGTCTCAAGCATGCTCTTTGCATAACCAGCACTGATGTCTACAGAAAAATTTCTCTCTTCAGTTATTACCTTCAAGCAATTGCCTTCGTGAATATCCCTTTTTTCAACATTAGTGAGAGAGACGAAAAATAATAATGCCGTATATTTTGAAATTTAAAAGAAATTACGTAATTTTATACCAAAATCAAATTCTCAATGCAAATTTTTCTTACAACAATAGCACATCTATTTAAAAAAAAAAATAGGCAATATAGTGCTTGAGAACAAATAATGTATCTGCAAAAAAGAGAATGGGAGATACATTTTTCCTTCAAATTTCCCCAGATACTCCAGTTATTGCATATTTCAAAGTCACAGTACTATGAATTCATATCTATGCCATTTTTAAATTACTTTATTCCATTTCAATAAATATAATAATATATCATGATATAAGTCAGAATTATAATTGTTAACATACAAAGATTTTACTGATCAAATTTGTAATTCTTCATTATATTTTGATAAAAAATGCCAGTAAATAAGAAAGAAGAGAGATATATATGCTATTTTTCGCTATTTAATCTAGATAATAATAATCAGATAAAATTTAAATGATATTTTTCGCTAAATATACAATAAGGAATATTGAAACTTGTGTTTCTTTTAATTTTTAAGATCTTATGTATGTAAGATATAAATGTAAAATATATTTAATATCTCTAAAATATCTGCTTTTTGCTCCAATTGAAGTAAATTATTTTACAATTATAAAATGTTTTCAAGAAATATTTAGAGATAATATAATAATAGTAAATATTAACCAAAGAATAAGAATTATTTGTTTAATCACTACAAAAACATGTAACAAAATTAACAGATATTTACCAGTCTGGCGGCATCACGGTGTCGTAATGTCATATCACCAAAATAATTAAGAATCGACGATGTACTCAGTCCAATCTCACTTTCGATCTCGCGACGCGTTAAGAAACCACCAGCCCGTGTCGAAGATTCGAGAAGCGCTCTCGATGGAGTCGGGGTCTAAGCAACGACTGGACTGGTACCAGGATGGCTTCTTGCTGCCTGGTCGCTACGTTCGCCACAATAGAAACTGGTGGGAGATCAAAACGCTGAGTGGTCGCTATACTGGTGCACATTCGCGTATATACGCACATACGCATGTTACATGTAATATTCCTTCGACAATTACGACATGCACATGTCCCGCTACAGATGATATATAGTAATTGTATATTTGTGTAAGTGCGTATATGCAGATTTTATCTTATAGTACCGTTCATAAATCGATTCTGTGTTCGTTGAAATTTCATCTATAGCGGAAATGTATATCATTGGCTACGTGACTAAGAATCTTGCCACTGATCCACTTCTATGAATCGATAATCCATTAACGGAAACTAATTCTTTTCAGAGGAATTTCTAAATTATAATTCTCTCTTCCGAGAAGAGTTAATTAGCCATTTTAACACTTTTTTAAAAGATTATTATTTTTATTATTCTCTTTCTTTGATTTTTATCATTATATTTCAATTTTATTTTGACAAAATCAAACAAGATTCCAAATGTTAATTTTCAATTTTATTTTTGCTTTAATTTTTAGAAATAAAAATTACATTATCACGATTATATGTTAGCGCTATTAGTATAAAAGCATTTAACTTTCAAAGAATACACTTGAGTTTTTGAAGACTATTGTACTTCAAGAGAAGAAAATAAAGGATCACAAAAGTACGGTGGCGTGTTTCCCATGTAGACACGCGGAGACCGACCGGAGTTGGAGCGACTACAAAGCAGATCGCATGAGCAAACGATTCTTTTTTTGATTGTACTGTATTTATGCACAATTGCACGCGGGAAGTGCACACTGCGAAAGTATCATCTTACTCTATACGAGAATTTCCTGATCAAGAGAGAGACAGACAAAAAGAATGCAATAAGTATCTTTCACAGAATCTGCTTCGTGGCTCTGGTAACATAAAAATTCTAATGTAATATTTCTAAAACGATTTAATAAAAATTCAGCTTTAATAGATACGACAATATCGACTTGAATTGAAGATTTTCCAAGTCTATGTGAAATTTTCATTTTCTTTATCTACAGAATCTCTCTCTCTCTCTCTCTCCTCTTCCCCCCCCTCTCTCTCTCCTTCTTTTTTCTTCTCTCGTATAAATTATAAAAATAAAAATATCATAAATAATGTTATTTTAATTATATCGATTTACGAATATTTTATAATTATTTGAATAATATCGACGATTTCTAAACCTCTTTTAGGCTAAACAATCATATCAGTATGCGGTCGCTCTCGTAATATAGCGGTGTTGCATTTTCCCCGACGAAGCTGTATTATTTTCGCGAGTGTGATTAACGCTGTCTGCTCGTCCCAAGAACTCCTTCCCGACTAGATGATACCATCCTCCATTCTTACCCCGCTTCACGTGGCCGCGAAAAGAATTCATATCTCTACAGTGCGCGGCGGACGGGTGTACGTCGACGGATAAAGCAACTCGTTAATCTCCGGTTGTTAGCCAAGGTGGAGAGATACATATCTCGGGGTTTCTGTTGCAGACGGATGATTCGCCGAGTCTACTCCTATCGTGGTAACCACCTTGGTTACTCGTGAGAGCGAGGAAACGCATAACAGAATCAGGGGCGGGGAAAGACGTACACTACGAAGTATACGGGGTTGGAGAACATTATTCTAGAGCGTATCATAGCTCACTAATTATCTCAACAATTTCGCATGCAGTCCTCGGGACACATATTTTACGTAGAAAAAACATGTAACGATTTTAAATTATCATCGACGAAATGTTGCAGATTAAATATGTGATTAATTTTAGTGAAGCATTTTCTTTAAAGTGTAATGTTCTTGGAGCGCACCTCAAGGGAGAGAGAAACGACCCCGTGAATGATCATAGCGCTTAGATGGAAAAGCCTCGCGGCCTCGCAGATCGCTCATTCATCGAAACATAACGATTGTAAAGCCGTAGTAGTTGCTTCGTTATGGCTGTATCTCCGATTCTAGTAACTCATAGGTGTACGAACGACGGGGCATACGAATTTCGAATCGTTTTGCTTTTGTCCATCTGTTAGAAGCGACTCTCTTCTTTACGACTGCCTTGAAACCAATTCGGAATACTAATACTAGCAATGCAGGTCGAGAAAACGAGGTTTCGCTTTCAAAAGATTTTAGCCAGGTACAAATGTAGACAATGAGATTCCGTGAGTGAGTTTTGTACAAGTCTGAAAGCGACTGCTTTTTACGTTTTACGCTGAATGAATGGAAGCTGTAAAGGAAGGAGTGAAAGCAATTATCTATCTCTTCTAAATAGAAAAATGGTCTTAAAAGGTTTCATAAATTAATTTGTCGAATATTTATTAAACAGAATAATTGTAAGCCAAAAGTCTTCAAAAAGTAATTCATATTCATTCGTTTATTGCAATATGAAAAAAATGTGTCTTTTTATATCTGAAAAATATATTTAACTTTATTCGCTTAGAATAATAAAGATAATTGCATAAAATAATTTAAGTTAGTTATTATACAATAAAAAGAAGTAGAATTATACATATACAATATATATCAGTATTTTTTAATGAACGACTGATATGTTCTTTCACTGTAAGATTCATAATGATAAATTTTATCCAATTTGAGTTATTTTTAATCATTTTTTATAGGTCACCGCTGCTCCTACTCACAATACGTCATTAATTTAATTAAAACTGAGACTAAAATAATGGAGAGTTAAATAATTTAATTCTATTATATAAAATGTATTAAAATTGATTCAAATTGAGTTTATTATTTACTAAGTGCATTTGGATGGTACATGGATGTTGTTTATTTTGAAATGCACAAATGGATTTATATTTTGACATAAATGGAAGTTAAAAATAACAAAATAATGTTATTTAATTCAAGAGACTAAATTACTGTTGCTCTTTTGATACCTAACAGTGTAAAACATATTAAAATAATTATTTCATAATTACTTTATTATATTACATCATTCATTATAATTAATAACCATTCGTATTTTTACTATGAAATAAAACAGGCCATTAAAAGGGTGTTGTAAAGACAGAATGAAGAGCCATGACATTGATAAGTTTTGATCACAGATAATTCAGAAGTCATTAAAACTTCTTAAAGATTACAAATGGGCTGAATAAAGCAGAACTTCACTACGTCCTTATCTAAGTCCCTCGCGTGCTATTCTCCCGCGCGAGAAAACTTCAGTATTCTCCCAGTCCGTTCTTGATAATGCACATTAATATCAAACTTATTACTGCGGATCGTTTACGTTTGTGTTGTCGTGACAGCCGGCGAAAACGGCCGACGTTATCGTTAAGCGAATCGAACCGCGGCCACTTTTCGCAACGTCGCCCCGATGTCGATATTCATCGTTAATTAATCCGCACTCATACGTTACCCTCCGCAGCGCGTAAAAAAGACGCTTACCCGGCGGCTTATAAAGTACGGCGACGCGACGGCATGGTAATTAATCGAGTTCGGCCACGTCGTAACGGTAACTAATACGGCGACAATTAATCACGCGCCGCTGGTAATCCATGCTCATCGATATCCTCGTCGTGCTATAAATTACTGTCTACTAATCCTCCCTTCTTCTCTGTCTATGCATTCGTCTAATATATTTTCAGCATGTGCGCACATGTTACATATTAAAAAGCGCAAGTTGAATGATTCCATCATTATTTATATCTTAACACATATATAGACATTTAGACGTTTATACGTGTTTTTTAAGAAAATTAGCAAATACATTAAGCATTTTTTTTATATAAAATCAACTTCAGAAATAAAAAATTAGATAAAGGTTTAAAGTAGTAGCATAGAATTAATGATAGGTCCCAATTTGCTTAATACGTATATAAGATGAGAAGATGTCTCCCAAAGTATGGATAATTTAATTACAAAAAACATTTAATGTGCAAAAAATGTTAAATATACAAATATTTTTCCATGCATTATTGCTGTATTGCTCGCAATCTGTCCCGATAAAAACAGGTTTGAGGTGATCTATGTTGAATCCACGTTTTACAGGAACTATTTTACATGGACAAAAATTCATGGATATGCTATTCATATAAATGTCACGTGTCATGAATGATATGGCATCAAAATATCAAAATTTCAACGTATATTACATAGAGTGACAGTCGATGTAATTTTATTCACGTGAATTCCGTATTACCATTTAATTTTATTTTCGTTAAATGTCAGTAATTCTACATATGGATTATATGCATAAAAATCTGTATAGAAGTGCCTATGTAGAATTTATGTTGAAATTTTGAGGAAAATTTATTTGGATTTGGTAATAAAATCACAACGTTACTTTCGTGTGGTGGATATCATGTCAATGAATTTTTGATCATGCAGTTCGCGTAAAATACGTGGATTCAACGTAGATACAACGTTCTCATCGAAATCTCTTTTTTTGCTCTTCTCTCTTTTTAAAATATTTACGGCTAATAGTATTCGATTAATAGCGCAGTTCTTTCAAAATAAATCGAAATACTTTGTAGTACTGTCGCTTTATTTTTTTCTAGATAATAAAATAAAGCTCCGAACCATTGCCAAAACTATTGCATTAATTTACGATTTTGCTTCTATTACATAATTATGTAATAATAATTAATGCTTATAATGTATGCGTTATTTCCTGCGTGCCTTATGCCTAAATTCTAAGCAGACTCATAAGGCTTGTAACATATTTCTGTAAGACTTGTAAGAATTTTTAAGTGTTTATACCTTTACACAATACTTTTTACAGCTTCTTTACTAGCCATAAAATTTACAAGGAATCGTAGATATTTACGAATAATCATACGTCTTACGATATATACGCATAAAATTAGAATACTAGTCATAAGTTTTTACAAGTTTTACGAGAGTATGTTACGAGTCTTACGATTCTGCTTAGAATTGATCCATTAGGTATCAATCCTACTTATTTTTACATTTTAAAACAATGTTAATAACAAACGT